AAATTTTCTATAAAAAAGGTCTTGGGGGATTCCATAGTAACTGGCGGGACATTTGACTCTGGAATTCCATAAATTATATATAATTATAATTATTTGACTGAAAGTTATACTACAGTAAAATTTATCTAATAATATAGAAGAATAACTAATTAACAATATCCCTTTTGTCAAAAACCTCGATTACTTTTTAAGTTTCTCGTAATTGTCATTTGACTGAGTGTGACTGGTGGGACTAACAACAAATTCTTTTCTCTTACCAAAGGTATACTTAAAGTCCAATTATCAGTTCGACCACTACACTAAAAAAAAATACTTCCCTCGAAAATACAAAATTAATCCTACAACACATTGAATATTATAAAGAATTAGACTGATTACCTACACGGAAAGAACAAGATGACACTGGATACCATCTCAGATTATACTCAGCGACATCTGAAGTGAAAAAAATTTCAGATGTTAGCTAGTATAATCCAGATTATACTGAATAATATCTGGATTATACTCATTGTAATCTGGATTATACTAATTGTTATCTGGATTATACTAGCTACTATCTGAAATTTTTTTTCACTCAGTATAATCTGGGATTATAGCCAGTATAATTTTGTTCTTTCCGTGTACGTAGAAACAATTGAAAAAATTTTTTTTTATTGTGACTGGTGGGACAAGCATTTGTGACTGTTGGGACAAGTACTAAATGTCTACACCAAGTTGTTTATTAAAAAGACTTTTATATTATTTCAACCTTAGAAACATTATTGTTTATATATTTAACTATAAATTATTTAGGATAATTAAAAAAAAACTAATTAAAAAAGACAAATAAAGGATTTAGCATGCTGACAACACGATCTTGATAAACTTAGGTGTTAATTAATAACGAACATAAAAAAAATTTGCTCTTAAAACTATAATAATAAATATGTTAGTTAATAACAAACATTAAATGAATTTGTTGTTAAAACTATTAAAACAACATTTGACCGGGATACAAGTGTTAGTACGACTGAAAAGTTACTAGGAGAAAAAAATCTATTTTCTTATTGATTAAAAAAAATTTTCTTTACAAATTAGTAAAATATTAACTTTTAATAATAAATTAGAGAAATTTAAAATTTTTAGTCATTTTACCATTTCGCATGAAATGCCCCAATAATATATTTAAAAGTTGTTGTGACTCACAAATTTTAAACAAAAAAAATATATCCACTCCATTGTCTGAAGACTTGTTAAGTAATCGTAAACGTTCTCATAATTAATATTTATAACTTGTGCATATTAATTAAAATTATTTAATATTTATTTTTAATTATCTAGACTATTTTGTAACTACCGGTCTATATTTCTTTATTTATTAATTACACTCCAATTCTTTGTACTTAATTTTATTTTTGTTATTTTATGTTGTATTTTTAATCAACTAATTCTAATTTTACTATAAAAAAAAAAAATTCTACTTGTTAACAATTATCGTATGGGATTGAATAATATTTGCGCAATAGTAATTATAAGTCTAGACATAAATAATTATAATAATTCTAAATAATGATACTTGATATAATGTTATAATATCAATTTTTTTTTTTTTATTGAGATAAAAAATTAGTTACATAAAGTAAGAGTCGATCTGATCAGGAAGACAATTAGAAAGCTGTGTATTTTTTTATACAAAAGTTCAATTGATTTTTTTCTTTATTAAAAATTTATTATTAAATTTTTTTTGTACTTAAAATTATTTTAAAAAATTTGATAAATTTTTTGAATTTTTTACAATGAAAAAAAAATTTTTAAAATTGAATTAAAAAAAAATTTGAACTGTTGAAATTTTTAAATGAAAAAATAATTGTTAAAAAATTGTAAAAAAATTAAATTAAATTTTTTATGCTTTAATAATAATTAAACTTTTATAATATAAGTATACTTTCACAAAAGATAAGTCGATTCATTCCCACCATGGTCTAAACATCTCGAGTTGATTGCTAGATCATGGATGAAAGGGGTAGCAGTACTTGTATCTTTTAAATTTTCTCTTTTTATTTACTATACACGTCAATAAGGATCGTTGATTTTAAATTATCAAATGTGCTTGAAGATATTTATTGTTCATTTTTTATATCAATGGATTTGTTGGCTGAAATTAATTTTACACGTGTGAGTTATTGTTATTATAATTTATTTTAATTATTGTGAATGTAAAACTAGTTTGTTTTTTAAAGTTCCGGATGGTTAGGTTTGAATTTAAAATTGTGGGTTAAATATGGAAGATATGATAAAAGTACAGGAAACCTTTATAGAGAATTAAATATTCTATAAAAAAAGTCCTCATCACTTTAGCTCTAACTCATTATTTTTCCAAAATTTGAATTTTTAATTAAAAATTCAAGTTTGAGAACCTGTCCTTAATTCTAAAAAGTTTAAATTACTTATTTTGACTAAAATGTTGAAAATAAAGAAAAATGATAGACATTTTTTTATAGAAGATTAAATTCTTTACAAAAAGATCTTATTAATTTAGCTCTGTCTCATTATTTTTCCAAAATTTGAATTTTTAATTCAAAATTAAAGTTTGAGGACTTATGAAAAAATGATATGAGACCATTTTTACAAAGAATTTTATTTTCTATAAAGAAGGCCTTTATCAATTTTGCTCTAAACTCATTCTTATTTCCAAAATTTGAATTTTTAATTCAAAATTTAAGTTTAAGGACTTGTCCGTAATTTTAATAAGTTTACAATGCTTTTTTTCGTTAAATATTGAAAATATGAATATGTTATGAGAACTTTTTTCATTCTTTCTTCAAAATTTGAATTTTTTATTCAAAATTCAAGTTTGAGGACCTGTCCTTAATTTTTAAAAGTTTAAAATTTAGTTTTTAATTAAAATACTGTAAATATTAACATGTTATAAGAAAACATTTTTGATTCTTTTTCCAAAATTTGAATTTTTAATTCAAAATTTAAGTTTAAGGACTTGTCCTTAATTTTTAAAAGTTTAAAATTTAGTTTTTAATTAAAATGTTGTAAATATTAACATGTTATAAGAAAACTTTCTTCATTATTAATCCTAAATTTGAATTTTTAACTAAATATTCAAGTTTGAGGACTTGTCCTTAATTTTTAAAAGTTTAAAATTTAATTTTTGATTAAAATATTTAAACTATGAAAATGTTATGAGAACTTTTTTTCCAAAATTTGAATTTTCAATCAAAAATTAAAGTTTGGGGATCTGTCCTTAATTTTCAAAAGTTTAAAATTATTTTTTTGGCTTAAATATTAAAAATACAAAAACATAATAAAAAACCTTTTTTATAGAGAATTAAATTTTCTATAAATAAAGTCTTTATTAATTTTGCCTTTTTGAACTCTTTAGAAACAATTTTAAAAATATAAAAAAATTGTAATGTTAAAGACCCAGTTATTGACACTAAAATTAAATAAAACAAATCGACTATAATAAATTAATAAATGTAATTTTTGAATTATAAATTTCAGGATAATTGTTTTTTTGAGAACATTTTAATTTTTTTAATTAGAATAACATTGCAAGTGTCAATTAATTAGGCCAGAGTCAATAAATGGGTCTTTTATCTTAAATTAATGTGCAAAAAATGTAAAGTAAGCTTTAAAAAATTTCTAACGAAATTTAAAAAGTGGGTGAGTGAAAGAGAGTGGGCAACGAATTCGGGGCAAAGATTCCCCTTCTTTTATCTGAATTTTTTTCATCACAAAGTTTGGAATCTTATGTCAATTATTCGTTAATATAACGGTCCCGTTGGACCGTGGTTATGGGACCTCGTGGAAGAAAAAGATAACAAACGGTGTTAACTGCCTAATGGCAGAGGATGGAAGCAGGAGGTGGTGGAAAAGGTGGAGGATGAGTAAGAGAAGAAAAAAGGAAGTAAATAAAATAAAATGAGTCGCAAGGTAGAGGGTAATGCTAAGGTAAAGGTGTAGTCAGAGACGAATACACAAACGAGACGACGTGAATAAGTTTACAAGTCTTTGGCAGTTCAGCCGGCTTATTTTCTTCTTAGAAAATATTTTTATAAAATTGTCGAGTGTTTAAATTTTATTTTAAAATTTTTTTATTGCTAAAAAAATTAAATTTAAAGTAAATAAAATTTTTAGTGTTCAAATTTGATTAAAATAATTTTTTATTGACATTTTTATCGGAAAAAAAATTTATTTATTTAAATTTAATGTAAAACAAATTTTTCAGTGTTTATATTTGATAAAAAAAAAATTCTGTGTTTAAATTTACTGTAAAAAAAAATTTTTTTTATTTATTGATTTGAAATTAATTGATTAATTAATTTAATTAAATGAAATTGTAAGAGTTTAAGCTGTCAAAAATTAAAAATTTAATTTAAAAAAATTTTTATTAAAATTTTTTAAGTGTTTATATTTAATTTAAAAATTTTTTTATTTAAATTTTTTATGTAAAAAAATTTATTCAATGCAAAAAAAATTTTTCAAGTGTTAAAATTTGATAAAAAAAAATTATAAGTGTTTAAATATAATTAAAAAAAATTTTTTTAATTAAATTTGGTGTTAGAAAAAAATTAAAAAAATTTTTAAGAACATTTATTGATTTAAAATTAGTTAATTAAAAAAATTGTAAAAATCTAAGTTAAAAATTAGAAAAAAATTTATTACATAAATAAAAAATAAAAAATGTTAATTTTTAATTAATAGAATTACCTTGAAAAAAAATTTATTTAAATTATTTATTCTCGTGACGTTGACCGAGGACTTTTTTTTTATTATACTCACCAGTGAGTTAAATTGTAAAAAGACGAGTAAAGACTATTCTTAGAACAGAATTTTTTGTCTATTTTCTGGTCAATGTTTGATTTAAAAAAAAAAAACTTTTTTTTATAAGAAAATTAATAATTTTATGTTGAATTTTTATAAAATAATCACCACGGGTTTGATATCTAGTGTAAGTTAATTTTAGAAAAAATTAAAAAAAATTGTAATTATATTTTATTTTAGTAGAAATTTGTTGTTTAAATAATTATAATTATTTTTTATTATTGCAGGTATTCCTGGATGACAGAGAAAAACATGACCTAGAGCAATTAGTGAGTGCTAAAACTCATGGAGCAACGCCACTAGTGATGGCTTGTAGGAATGGTCACTATGACGTTGCTGAATATCTTATTGAAAAGTGCGGTGCTGATGTCGAACAACCGGGCTCTGGTAATAATTATTTTTTTTGTTTATTAATATTGATGACTAATAAAATAATAATTGTTCTTTGATATATGTAGGACAACTGTTGTTTCTTTAAAGTCGTAAATTTTACGTTGGAAATTTAATTATTAGGTATTAAAAAATTGTTGACCTTAAAAATTTTTTACATAAATAAACAAATTATTTTTTTTCAAGTTAAAATTTTAAATTCTGGGTTAAATATTGAAGTTATAAAAAAAATTACGAGAGTTTTTTTATAATATAATTTTTCATGATTATTAATTAATATTAATTTTTCATTAACTATTTTCATTAACAGTGGTATTTGATGGAGAAACAATAGAAGGAGCTCCACCACTTTGGTGTGCTGCAGCCGCAGGACACTTGGCCTTAGTAAAATTACTAGTAAAGCGTGGAGCTAAATTAAATGCCACAACTAAAACAAACTCAACTCCACTTCGAGCTGCCTGTTTTGATGGGCATTTTGAGATAGTTAAATTTCTTGTTCAGCATGGTGCAGGTAAACTATCAATTTATTATTTAATTAAAATAAAATTATATTTATTTTATAATCAGATTTTTTAAATTCTAAATTAATTAATTAAATAAACAAAACTAGCAACTTTGCACTCACTTCGTGACTGCTGTAACTTGTGAACTATAAATAAATAAAATTTTGCTTCATTAAATAATAATTTTTGTTAAATTGCTCTGTACTTTCTTAAATATTGACGTTTTTGAAGATGTAAGCTCATCCCGATGTTACACTTATCAAGAGCTTTCATTTAAGTACCCACATGCATTTTTGATATATTTTTTATATATAATATATATTTTAAAGATATAAGCTCATCCTCATGTTAAACTCTTCAAGAGCTTTCATTTGAGTACCCACATGTATTTTTGATATATTTTTCATATATACATATATATAATAATATATATAAATATATGAAAAATTGATGTGGGTAC